CTGTGCAATAAATACATTTTTAAGCAAATTCAGAACCAAGCATTTCAAATCATCATTTGAAATGCAGGTATTTTTTAGCAATTAAATCAATGAATAAATGCAAGATAGATAGGTTTAATGCCATACAATGGAACATTCTTGGCAAAGCAAGAATATCTCCAGGGAAGCAGGAATGAGGTGGAACCCCCCTAAACCCCCACCCCCCGCTAAAAAAGTTCAATTGTGCACCTTTAAAAAGCACAGTTTAAAAGTCTGTTTTTAAAATAATTTAAATGAAAAGATAAAATTGAAATAGTGATTGCTTAATACAAGGGCTGGAAAATCAGCTATTCTTTATGCCACATCACCTAGTTTATGTAGATGACTATTTCCTGTTTATAAATATATATATATTGTTGTAACCCATGACCGAAAATGTGGGCTATATGACCTCATGCAGTGTTTAAAGGTTGCTTTTCTTTGGAGTGGTTTGTCACATAGAGGAAACACTGACTGTTTTCTAGTCAGGCCTCTGTGATTCCCTTCTGTGGTGTTTGGTCTCCGCCCTTATTTCCAAACTAAGTCTATAAGCTGCAGCACTAAACCACACAAGGCTTAAGCCTGGTCTACACTGGCATTATTTGGGCAGCTCACACAGCCACAGAATGGTGCACGGGGACACTGGCACAAACTGGCATGTGCTTCTCAAAAGAAGTGGAATATATTATTATCTTTGTCTAAATCAGAAGCTTTGTTATTATGTGCTGCAGAATGAACAAAGCCTTAAGCTAATGTGCAATGGAAAACTAACAATAATTACAGTATTTTAGTGTCGTGGAAAAATAGGTATACAAGTGTTAAGACTTGGTTTTACAGGCACCATTGAAAGCATGTAGGTATTTTCATAATAATTTTCTTGCCAGCCAAAAGTGTTATTAACTATAGCAAAACTAACAATGTGGATTAGTTTAGGTTTCCAAATGTTTTAGTGAATATCAGACAAAACTGTCAAAGGGTTTCAAACTTTTACACAATGAAATATAATTTGTGCTTATATTTTATAAATTCATATTTGTTTTACATCAAGCATCCTCAAAATCCATAACAGGAAAACGAGATATGGCTGAAACCCTTTAATATTAGATCAGTTTAAATATGAATACAAGAAAGCCCAAATGTCTGGAATGTCTATTAGACCTAAACAAATAATGAAAACTGGAATTGAATTTATTATTTCCAGGCAAATCTCTCTTGGACTTCTTCTCAGCTGCATGGCATTATTTTTACAATGAAGGAGCAACAGGGGCTTAGGCTGTGATAAATACATAGCAACTAGAATGATACTAGCCAAACAAACACCCATTTTCCACAGTATAAGCTTTGGAAGGCACTAACCACCCCCTCTTGTCCAGTATAGGTACTCATAATTGGCCTTCTGTCTGTATACGCACAGGATTATAAATAAAATGTAACTACAGAGTACACTGGTGAAAATTATAAGTTGTGGTATGGTTATAGTTGCAGGGATCATGGTTAGCAAGACAGATGGAGCACCAGAGTCAGAGTGACATTCAGCCACATAGGAAATAATGATAAGTGTTATGTATATTTGTGATACCATTAGATTTTTCCAATATTTTGTTTGAGGAAACTAGTAAATTGCGATCCTGTGGCACAGAGGAAATCAGACAGTGTTGTCATTGTAATGAAGGTGAGAGGTCAAAGGTCAATGTGTCAGCTGGAGTGTGTATCTGGTATTTGACATAGCTGTATCACAGGGCCATAACAGTTTGGCCAAACCAGTCACTGTTGATTTTAACTTATAAACTCGGATAAAATGAAAGGTGTTTGTAGTTTATTGTTTATACTGTATTTATTAGATCACTTTGCACACAAAATTTATGTACAAAATGTTTAACCCAGGTATTAGCCACTCGGAGTAATGGTAGAGTATATTTTATAGAGAATTATATTATGTAAATAGTTGTGCACTTTGGCAGCTCTGTCACCCAGAGGTTAGCACTTCTACCTCACAACAAGAAGGTCTGGGGTTTGACTCCCGCGTGGTGTGGAACCTTTCTGTGTGGAGTTTGCATGCTCTGCTTATGCCCGAGTAGCTTTCCTCAGGCTGCTCTGGTCTCCCCTACTACCCACATGTTCAATAGGCTCCCCTTTGGTGCCTGCATAATACATAAAATATACAATGTTGTTTGTAATAATATACTCTATGTGTGGAAGTGCCAAAATAACCTTGGTCCAAAACCAAAATCCACTTCTGCTCTGACATTCAAAATAAGATTGTACTTGTTTTATTTACTCTTGGACATCTATCTATTTGTGTCTTTTTCATAGTTGAATTTTTGGACTGTTTATCTGTTTTCTTAAGTGGAACCGTGTGTGTTTTGATGTTGGGCTAGACAAAAATAATTAGAATTGTTTTAATTTTTTTTTTTTTTTTTTTTTTTTTTTTTTTTTTTTTATGTAATAAGGGTGCTTTTGTTTTTATCCGTCTATATTGTATCTGTGGTTTGCACATGTGGAGCTTTCTATTGGATACAGACAAAATGCATTCACACTTTTGTTGAATCTTTGTTTACTTTGTTAGTTTTAATGTTTTTGTAAATTCCTATTTGGCTGCTGCATATGGCCCCCACTTTGAGAGCTCTCCAGGCAATTATCCCTATAGTAGCCCCATCTTGTGGCAACCTTGTGACACTGCAGATCTCAACTTGAGAACATTTCAACCTGTCTGCATCTGTTGCTCGCCTCCCATTACAGTGACTGGCAGTCTGCCTGGTAGTTCATGGGTTCAGACTATAATCGGTTTGAGTGTGTGGTCTGTGCTTACTCCATGCCAAAGCTAGCAAGTTTGCCACATATTTCTAAAATATGTTTTGTGTTCAAATGGTCAGTTTAGTCATATAAACATTTACAGTTTTAATGACAAAACATTGCAACATTGATAAATATTCTTGCTTTTTCATTGCATAAATGGCACACATTTTTGCATTTTGCACTTTAAAATTATCATGAGGAGAGCAGTAAAATGAGTAAGAAGAAGAAGAAGCTAGCAAGAACTAACTAAAAAACTGACATTTTGTTTTCCTACCTTGTCTAGTTGAATTTATGCCACTTCTGATTTCACAAGAAGGCACTGTTTAACAAAGCCAGTGTTTCCCAATCAGAGGTGCAGGGACCGCAAGCACTTCCCATGAAGATTTTTTTTTTTTGCTGTAAATTTGAAGTAAAATTGGAGGAGTTTGGAGATCAAATATAATAGTAATTGACAATACAGACAATCAATGTATATAGAGCACAACCAAAGCTGCTGTAGTTATATACAACAGTTGTTGCCCTAATGGTCAACAACTGTGTAAAATCTCAGAGCTCTATGTCTCCAAGTTGAAATAGTGTAAATTGTAATAATTTGTGGCATATATTGGTGTAATTGCACACAAATATCCAAAATACCAAATGCAATAAATACACATTTCTTCAAACATTTTAAACAAAGTGTAAAAGGGTACTTGGGAGTCAGCTGAGACTGAACTAAGCCACTTTTGCGTGAGAATGTAAACTGTAATTCTATATGTTATTTTTGAGGGTGTGTTTTTGTCGTGATCGTGGTCCTTGAGGCAGGAAGGGGCTGCAGATGTGAAGAGCGCTGAGGCAGGGGGGACAGAACAGAGCGTTGCTTTGTACCTGGTTTTACTGAGGGAGTTATGTGTGCAATCTGATCCAGTATCCCGCCATGACAGAAGCGCACTGTCTACTGTCACTACTATGGCCTGACCCCAAAGGACCCTCCCTCTTCCTCTGGAGTCCTCTCATCACTTTGGTCTTTTCATACCTGCCCCTCTCAGCTTTTTTCATTCCCAGCATTCCAGAGCAGACCTGCAAAACTCCTAGAAAGTTAGTGGTTTATAGAATAACTCTGGGAAAGTTTAAATAGGTGGAGCACAGGGAGAGTGTGATTATGGTCTAATTAGGGAATATGAATTGCTTGAAGTTGTTTACGAAATACCTGTACTTACCTAATGTCTAGTTTACATTATATTACTTATCAGTTCTTTTACAGTATTACGAAATCTAAAACCATAACACAAACTAACTGTGTTCACCAATTCAATACAATATTAATAGACTTGTGAGATCAAATTTAATATGAGTAGTTTTACCTTACTTACTTGTGCTAGACAGCTGTGCTATCTAAGGAACCACCACGAATCAAAACACAGGATCAATTTCAGATGGAATTTTAAAATATTCTTTATAATACCAGGCATTTATTAATGTGAGAGTGAATTCTATAACCAGTCTATACCTTGTAATTGTAAAGTGCTGTTCTTACATCCATGTATCATTTTAAATAATTTATTATGATCATTTATTTACTGCATTGTTTGTTATAAATGTATTCGTATTACGATGATCTGTAAAATATTACATTGTGTGTATCAGAAGCTTACTACTTCTCTGCAGAAATAAATATTTAAGAAAAGTCAATATATTCTAATTCCAAGTACATTAATATATTACATCTCACACTCATTTCATTCTTTTGTTGAGGAGTAGTTCATATGACTTTTCATACTTGTTTTTTAATTTGTACATTGTGGCCAGCTTCTCTTGGCATAAATGTTTCTCTCTCGTCATCTGTACCTCTTAAAAGCCATTATGAGTTTGGGAAAAAGATAAGGTTACTCCAGCTGCAACAGCCTGGGTATAAACTGCTTTTATAAATCAGTTATTAATTATTAATGTTTTGTAATGGTTTGGTTATGCATATTCAGTGAAGTGCAAATTACTCATTGGTTTGGTTCAACCTTAGAGCTACAAGAACATTGTAGTACATTCCCCTAATTGTGATCCCAAAATTAAACAGCAGATTATGAATGTGTTGTTTTGTTATTCACATGACATTTTTACTCAGTTGATTTTCCTTCAGTTCAAATATTTGATTAACTTGTACTCTGGAGAGTGACACTGGTTTAAATGTTATCCTTGTGTTTCTCCTCCAGACCCAGTGGATGTGCTGCGGGCTCTGCAGGTTCCCTCTCTCCCTGAAGGCGTAAAGAAAGTCCCTGGCTTCTGCACCTCCCGTCGCTCCGGCAACCCTGACCATGCCTACCGTATCTCCAAGCGAGCTCAGATCTCTGCCCCCACCAAACAACTCTTTTCAGGTTTGCACCAACATTTTCGCAATATTAAAACATTATTTTTTTTGCATTTTTTCAGTGCTGTACAATACATGTAAACACTGTACAATGTAAAGTTATGGTAGAGGAATAATTTTAGCGGAATGGAACATGTAGTGGCTCAGAAACTTCCTCAGTGCATGTTTAATTGTTGAGAAATAGAAACTGTGTCTAGTCTATAATCCACTCTACTTAAAATGTTTTTGATTTAGAGGATAATTAAACAAATTGACCTTTTCCCAAGACCCACCCACAAAAATAAACTTACACTTACAACTTAGTACAATTTCTTACTAGATTAATAATTATGAGAATATTGTGATCTACATCAATGTAAAGCTGAGGTTGCAAAGTAAATTTACAGGAATGAAACAGGTACTGGCACAAAAACTGGCTCAAAACATTTCTTAATTGTTAAGAAATAAAAATTGCAAAATTTCATGGATTTGAAGGATAATTATATGGTGAAGCGCAAGAAGCATGAGCATAATTGTCTTAGAGAATCATAACAAATTATCTTTAGAGAACTGTCTGACACTGGAGAGCTGAGAAGAAGACACAAGTAGCATTTATGTGGTTTAAGAGAACCCCCTCAAAGACAAAAGTGATTTCCAGGTCTTTTCTTAGATTTACGTTGTTAGCGCCCACCTATCCCTATGAGTTTTCACATGTAATTATATTTCAACATTTCAAAATCTGAGTTTGTAAAGCATGTTTTGAATTTGGCAAATTATCATATACCACCTTGTCACTGCCTGATCTTGTCTGATCTCAGAAGCTAGGCATGATTCGGCCTAGTTAACACTTGAATTGGAGACCAAGGGAAATACCAGATGCCACAGTGGGGCTGCAGTTACTTGAGTGCAAACTGACATGACTATAGACAAGACACTTTACCTACATTGCCTAGTATGAAAGTGTGTCTGAGGGCGTGTTGGTGGGGGTCGGAGGGACTGACGGTGCATATTGACAACCTCGCTTCTGTCAGTCAAAAATATTATATATTATATATACAGACATATTTCAATCCTTACTTATCTTGATATTTGGGATACATTTTTCTATAGTCATTCTCTTTCTGCTTGTTGCAGTTTTCCCCATTCCCACAATTAAAGGAAAGGTTTTAATTTTCTTATCGTTTTACCCAGTTGGCAAATAAAATGAATGTACTGAAACAAGTGAAATAATCATTCTCCCAGTAAACAGATCTTAGCTGGTCAAAATGTTTTAAAAGATTGAATCAAGTCATTTTAAGTCAACCAGAAATATTTATTGCAAACTGCTTATGTGATAAATAATAAGTTTTTTTTTTTTTGTGTTGACCCTTATCTCTCAATTCACAGGTCGTTTCCCTGAGAACTTCTCGATCATGGCTCTGGTTAAAGCTCATGCAGGTCTGCAGGCCTTCCTCCTCTCTATCTACAGCGAGCAGGGCATCCAGCAGCTGGGCATAGAGATGGGACGTTCCCCTGTGTTTCTGTACGAGGACCAGAATGGAAAACCCGCCCCTGAAGACTACCCCCTGTTCAGAGGCGTCAACCTGGCTGATGGCAAGTCAGTAACCACCAAGAACACTTTATGGATGGTTAAGATTACAGTGTGTGAATGTCAATGTGGTGCAAGAAATGTCTTGGGGAAGAAGAACTGCAGTTTTTACAATGCTTGCATACACTTTCCTATACATTTTTGCACAAGCTGTCTAATAGATTATCATGCCTATATTATTTTGTAGCTTTATTAAATCAAATGTTCTGATTTAAAAAGTGATGTGTAAAATGATTATTTTTTGGTAGCAAATGCCATTAAAATAAGATATTGCTTGTATAATTCTCACTGATAGCCTATTAGGTGTTGGAAAAGACACAAATCCCATGAGGCAAAGCAAGAGATTAGAATGAAATTTTTAACAATTTTCAATAAATACATCAATACATCTTTTATATATTTAGATGTTTTTCTTTTATTGGACATTTTAGACCACATCTTATTATTTATTTATTATTGATACTAAAATAAAAGCTGTACACATGAGTTGCTTGTTAAGTGTTACATTACAGACATCTTGGCATTATTATTTCTTTTACTGGCATATGTCTCTGTGACTAAAAACATAATCATTTGCTAAATTGATTAGTATTTAAATCTGCTGGGTGATTCCTGAAGTGTTGCCTTTGAGTTTAAACAATATGCTAAATGTGTTTTTTCTTGTCCGTAGATGGCACCGTGTTGCTTTCTCAGTGTCTAAGAAAAACGTGACTCTTCTTCTGGACTGTAAAAAGAAAATGACTCGTCCTTTGGCTCGTGGGAATAACGCTGAGGTTGACACCAACGGCATCACTGTGTTTGGAGCCCGTCTTCTGGATGAGGAGGTTTTCCAGGTGAGAGGCAGAGTCAAACAGTCAATGAATTTATTAATTGCAGCACAGGTACTTGTCTTTTAGTGGTTTGGAGTCTTGTCAATTCCAGAAGTTGTTTATTTACTTTTACTTTGGTCTAACTGAAATTATGGTTCTTCTGGTTTGGTCTGGATAGGTTTTGTTTCAATACCAAAATTTCAGTTTAAATTTTGATAAAGAAAAAGCTAGCACCGATTTTGATGTCTTTTTTAGACAATAATGTAATTTTCATGAAAGGTCTCACTTTGTCTTATGTGATTTTATCCTATATAAATATTGATGAGGTCACTGTTTTGAAAGTTTACATATTATATACAAGTTTCTATTCAATCACAATCCTTAAAATGAACCAGTCACAGAAGTTTGGCAGGCTTTTATGTCAGATGCCCTCCTAGGCGCATATACAGTTAGTAATGTGTATATCTTTGTATCTCTTTAGGGTGACATCCAGCAGTTGTTGATCGCCTCAAACCCTCAGGCTGCCTATGATTTCTGTGAACATTACAGCCCAGACTGTGACTCCCCACTGCCCAAGACCCAGGCCCAGGACCCCAACACCTATGTAAGTTACAACAGATATATAAACAAGATTATGTGAAGAGTCAAACCTGATCTGCAATTTTTCTACATTCTTTACTCCTGAAACACCAACACAGTTTTTATGGGGTGCATAGTGTTGCAACTGTTTACACTTTCATTACTCCAAATCTTCTCCATGTTGCTCCATTACTCCAAACAGAATCTTATTTGAAAACATATGTTATGACTGATTGATTTGATTTGGTAATACAGCTACGGTAATTTTATTCACACCACAGCCATACCAACCGTACTGTGCACTGTACTGTACTAGACAAATGTCTGTTAATAATGAATAACATATGATTGATGTATTCATACTTCAGACCAAGTTATTATTTTAAAAGAATCAAGAACTTTCCATAACTAGCCTTCAAGTATAATGTTTTGATTGGGTCATCCATTGCCATCAAAGTGCTGCTCTTCCTTTCTGCCTTCCTCACGCATCACCATAATCAAAATCATTATGTATCCATCCACCTCCTCCTGGTCTGTGCGTCTAAAGTAAATAAAGAAAAAAACATGGGTACTTCACAGAGAGTTTATAGATACACACACATGTAAGCTAGGAGATAGTCCTCAAGAGGGAATCCTGCAATATCCAGTATGCACACACCTCCAGTTTCCATCAATCTTTAGTACATCAATAACAGTCACCTTATAATGAACACAGAAAGGTGAGAGACAAAGGATGATTTGAATCATGTTTGCCTTGAATATAAAAGAAAGTTTTATTGCATAAAACAAGTTATTCATAAAGATGGCTTAAGGTGGAGCCTTTGTGCTTTGTGGGACTGTTTAAATTTGCTTCACTTAAACATAATAATAGAGACACTTCATTTCCTGGCAGCTGTGTCAGGGTGTTATCATCCGCATTGGACCACTCAAAGTACATGAGCTGTTTGTAGACCTGCATGTCCCATCACTCAAACTCAGCCGAGGTCCAGATCATGTTGATGCTGTTGAGATGACTGCTATCTGAATGAATAAAAACCACTGAGGATTTATTCATTGGCTTCACCCTTTCCTCATTCATCAGGGATGTCCACAAATCTCAGACATAAAAACAATAAAGCAGATTAATAAAGACATTACTGATGAATGATGATCAAATATTTAATATTGCTCTTCCTTTTTGACATATTCATACTCTATATTTGCCTCTAAACCCATATTCTCTCTATTGTTTCATGAATCTCTATCTCTCTATCTGTCTCAGTACTTTGATGAGGAGCAGGATGACCATGAATAGCCCTATTATTATGAGGTATTCCACAGCTGTTCCTCCATCCCCTGTGCCCCCCTCCCCTTCACCTGGAGCAGGAAAAGGGAGAGTTACCACAGGAAACATGAACAGGGTGTGTGAAGAGGGACATGGAAAGAGGGTTGTCCAAACATCACCAGCATTTAAATACATTATATTTATCACTCCCTCAATGTCATGTCTTCTCTCCAGACCCTGGTCATCTTATACATTCACACTGTTTGCATTGCACATTCACACTGTTTCCATTGTCTCCCCATCAAACAGGAACTCTGAATGTAATGTTACAATGTTGACTTATTTGTCTGTGTAATCGATCAAAGCGGGGCACTGGGGTAGCATCCATGGAGCTTTGTTACATTTATGTAAATTTAGGATTAGATCTTCTCTTTTAAAAGGGAGTAACTCACAGAGGGGTGCATAGTGCATCATAGTAGATGTTTCTCTTAACTGCATGACCCCATACAGGGAAGGCCTGTGTTTGGGTTATGATGTTTGCATGTGTCTTTTTGTCTGGTGTAGTTCATATGCATGAACTGACTCTACTTTTGCATTGTATCATCAACATGGGAATATTCTACATGCATTTTAGGTGGATTGTTTGCACTTTGGTCATGTTCTTTGGGTTTTATAGCCGGTGACTCAGGTTAGGTTTGTTTAGTGCCTGTTTTATGTATTTAAATCATCATGTTTATATAATTAATTTATAATATTGGCATGAATTTTTGTTGTAACCAGAAATGTGTATTTTATGTGCATGATAACCTAATAATCATCTGTTCTTCTTTAAAATAATAGATCTGATGTTAAAGGGACTGCATGTAAATGAATGTATTATAATAACATCATTGAGTTCAAGTGCATGACCAATATGTTAGAGAAAAATGTTTGTTACAGTCAGAAGTATAAACACACCACACACATACAGTCCCTTTAATTCTATTAGGATGCACTATGCATCCTCACACAATGTTTAATTGTGTCTAATGTATAAAAATAATAAGTATTTCCATATTTTTTGTGTAGTCGCAGCCTCAGTGCCACTGCAAGCTCTAGGAGCGCAAAATGCTGCTTCATCATTTAATATTGAGAATGGCATTACTGGAGAAAATGGCAAAGTACTCAATGTATCGATATACATATGAAATTTTGCATTGTTGCATGTTGATTGGATATAACCAAAGTATAAATGTATCGCTGTATCCAGTAATGCCTGTACAGTCTCAGTGAACCACCCAAGCCTCAGCCATCTTTATGTCATTGTTTCTCAAAACATCCTTGTCTCTCTCCTGTCTCATGTCTCCCCCTCTCACCCTGCTCTCCCCTCTCACCTGCCCTAATCTCAACATTTACACGCACCATTTAAACCAATAACTATAATAGAAGAAACCATCTAACGGGAAACCAGCCCCTACTAAGACAAGTGTGGTTAAACCCAAACCGACCCCAGCCAAGGCAGTTAAAACTGGACCATCCAAACTTGTAGTGAAGCCGCCGATGCCCACCAAAGCTCCAAAGGCCTCCACCACTAAACCCAAAGTGAAGCCCACTGCGGTTGAGATCCTTCTGTCTAAGATCAAGCCCACAGCAGCAGCAACAACCTCCAAACCATCTGCAAAGAATGGAAATGGTAAAGCTACTGCCGAGAAGAAGGCTAATGGTGCTGTTAAGGCTAATGGAAATGGGAAAGCTAATGCTAATGCTAAAGCCAAGCCAACCACTCCACCTAAAGTCAATGGAAATGGTAAAGCAGTAGCAGAGAAGAAAGTTAACAGCAATGGTAAAGCTAGTGTTGAGAAGAAAGCTAGTACAAAAGCTGTGGCTAAAACTAATGGCAAGGCGGTAACAGACAAGAAAGTCAATGGCAAAGCTGCTGCTGACAAAGCAAAAACTAATGGGAAAGCTGATAATAAAGTCAATGCTAAAGTTACTGTGGTAGAAAAGAAAGTTGCAAAAACAGAAACCACTATAAAAACTAAGACAGAGAAAAAAATTGAAGCTACGAAGGCACCAAAACCAGCGAAAGCACCTAAACCTGAACCTACGAAAGCCGCAAAGGCCTCAACAGCCAAAACTGTGAAAGTGGAAGTCACCAAAGTGAAGACGACCAAAGCTCCTCCAGCTAAACCCACAACAAGCCAAGTCAATGTGGTAGAAAAGATTACTGTCAAGAAAGTGGTGGCTACATCTACCCCTGTCCGACCGACGCCCCCCAGACCCACGAAGCCCAAGGTGGTGGAGAATAATGTGAAGTCACACAACAAGCCCTTCCCTCCATTTGGCACGTCTATTCTGGGAGCAACAGCCACCCCGGCAAAGAAAATCACCAACGGCTATCAGCAGGTACAACAGCAGGGCCCATGGCTGTCCTCAGTATCCAGTATGGCCCATATGGGAACTGTCTCTCCACCATCTAGGTTCTGTAGTTATAGGATCTTCTCACTGGTTGTGTTCACATTTGTACAGGTTTGGTCTTGATCTCAGTTTAGTCTTGAGTCTAATTCTGTTCTAGTCTTAGTTTGGTTTCGGGCTCAATCCTAGTTTAATACCCATTTTAATGTGGTGGGCGGCAGGCACGGGTCTACAGCGGTGCAAAAGGGTGCATTGCAACCTCATTTTAAAATGCTTGCACCCTTATTTCAGGCAGATTAAATAATGAAGCTTAATGGAGGTGTATTGTCTTTGCACTCTTGGAAACTCATATGTACCCTGAGTCAGTTTGATCTTGACCCACTGCTGGTGGGCAAGCCTACTGGTATGAATGTCAGATGCAAGGGATACAAAATAGTTGACATAGTCACTTTATAGAGACATTCCTCTGTTACGAAGTCCAAAAGGTGGATCTCTGTGAGGTAAATCCTTCTATATTAAGTCACTGGCATGGTTTAAAGTTAAGAAATGTCTTAATTTAGGTTAATGTCATGATTTAGATTAAGGTTAAGTAGTAATTATGGTTAAGGTTATGATCAGTCTCCTGGAAATGAATGTAAAAATCCAACATGTGTGAGTGCAAGTGTGAACACAGCCTCTGAAACACACTTTTGTTCTGAGAAGATTTGCAGTAGCACAACCTTGATGGTGGATCGTTGTGTCCATATTGGGGTTTGGATACCAGCTGGATACCGCTCCTGTTCATCTATCATATGACCCCAGCTTTGTACTATATGATATGATGCAGCGGTTTACACCAAAGCATGGCTGTTTATGCGGTGTAATGACTTCTCTTTACTTCAAACTCCCTTCAGGCCTGCATTGCAACTATAGGGGGCTTCTATATAAGTCAGTGAATGAGCATGGATTGCTATGGCACCAAAGCTAAACCTGTGAAAATATTAATATGATATATACACACAAACACACAAGACCTCCCCACTTTTCTCTCTCTTTGTTTTAAGTGTTGTCTGTCCTCTTACTGGTTGAATGTCTGAATCAAGCAGCCTATCAGAATAAAAAATACAAATATTTAAACTTGTTAATAATATATTTAAGTAATATTAATATAACAACTTTTACAGATCAAAGTCCTAACTAAATATAAATCTATTCTGTGAAATGGCTGTTTTGTCTCGGTGACTTTGTCTTGGAGTGAGACTGTGCATCCCAAAGCATCAAATAATGAACTTTATTTCATGTGAGATGCATAGGACCTCACTCTGCATTTGGCTTTCAACAGCTTTGAGCTTTAAAAGCATTTTAATAATAGAAGTAAAGAAATTTCAGGTTTCTCAATAATTTTCTGTTAAAAAAAATTATTGAGAGTCTAAACATTAAACACATCTGAAATTTCTTTTCTAAAATGGACCATTACAACCATATGTTGCAATAAAAATGTCCATTTTGTCTGATAGTAAACTAACCAATCTTCCAATTCATTACTTCCTTCTTCCTCCCACTTTCATCTGAACCAATCAGGATGTAGATACAGAGTATTCGGAGGCTGGCCACACCCCTACAGACCCTGATTATTTCTATGAGGAGACGATTCCAGAGGGTGAGGTGATTGCAGAAGAAGAAACCAAGGTTCAGGTAAAAAATACTCACTGACATATTTAGAGGAAGATAAATAAAATAAATAATTTTATCAGATGTGGTGGTGAGCCCAGTCTTTGTAACTTAATCTGATATTTTAGTGGTATGATTATTGTTCTTTTCTTTACATCCCTAACAACATACTACTATTGTGTTCTGTCATCGTCAATCTCTCCTTTGAAAAAGAAGGCATTGTATTTATTACATCATCAAATATATTTATGTGGCTCCTCTTGATCTAACAGCAAGATGTTTGTCTTTCTTCTATCTGAAGATCATTTTATGATTTTGATCATTCAATAGAGGCAAATACAAACTGAATCTTGTGAAAAAGGACTTGCATAAAAATATCTGATTTATGTTTTAACTAAATAACAAAGATTGATTTAGACAATGCTTTCTTTTCAAAATAATTAACTTGTTTTTTTAATTGTACTTGTTTTGTTGTCTAATTTTAAGACAACCCATATTAATAGATATGTCTCTGCAACATATCCCTGTTAAGTTTAACTATGCATAACAATATCCATGGTTAATATAACTTAGCTGTTTTTAATGAGAAGGCGTTCATGCCAAAGATGTCCAGTTGAATTTTAAGCTTCTTTGGTAAGTTATTTAATAGATATAGACTAGATTTGCTTTGCTTAGTAGTAGTGCCTCCATAAAGTATTTCTTATGGTTTTGCACAAACCGTGTGTACCTTTAGTTTGACAGTAACAGAAATACTTTAGGGGTAGTAGATTAAAGTGGAAAAGTTTCAGAAGATGAATATTTATACCGTAAGTTTTCATATAAGTTATATCAAAAGTCTATGTATTTTGTTGTGTTGTGTTCCTGTGTCTGTAGGTAAGGTCTTGTTATTATTATTCCTATCACACCAACGTCTTTTATCTCCTTTCCCTGTATTTACCACTGTGTTATACAGGGCTGTGCAATTGATAGAATTTAGTTTTAATCCAGACCCAATAGTTTCATTTCGTTACTGAGCGTGGTGGCTTTATTTAAGAGGTCTACAGGCAATCCACTGTCAGTAAAAGCATGTGATTTCCGGACTTTTTTAAATGCAACTAATTTAAATCCTGTCTATGTTGATAAAATAAAGATAGAAAGCCACATTTAATTGTCTTTACTAATAAATAAATTGAATTGAAAAATTGTGATCAGCATCATGGGTTTGTATTGTGGTCACAGCCGTTGTCTCTTTTCTCTCTCTTTACATTTTGTGCTCGACCTGTCCTGTCCAGTGATTCCTTTAGGCCAGAAAATCTTTCAAAAAAGAAAAAAAGGAAGTAAAATGTGATTGATTAGATTTTTGCCATATTGCCCAGCCCTAGTTCTACCTCTCCTCTTCTCTCCTACTCATTTGGCTTGTCCTCCGTCTGTTACCGTTTCCATCATGGTTCTAATCATTTCTGACCAGCCCGAGGCGGACCCATCCTTGTTCGAGGCGGAGGTAGATGCCACCAAAGGCGTGGGTGAGGAGGCCTTCACTGAGGAGTATGTGACTGGGGATGTGGGCCTGAAGGAGTACGACTATTCCTACAGGGACTACAACGAGCCGCTAGTGGAGACTGGAGAGATCGATGCCAACATGGGCCCATCTCTGTCCGCAGTGACAGACGAAGATGGCGTAAGTAGTTTTGCTTCAGCTGCAAAAACAAAAAAATATTATTCAACCAAGTCTAAATAAGGTCTTTCTACCATATCTTCAAAGTCTTCTGGAGTGACAATGAATCAGTGTTTTCGGTAGTTATATATAGTTCTGACCACTCTTAGGACAATGGAACAGTTTGGGGAACAGACAATTTGTTCCCAAAACTACAAATTGTCAGGGCTGGATCCTCATAAACATAGAACCTACAAAAATTCACGTTACGGTTAGCTAGAGGGTGACACCTCAAGATATTTAATGATCCTTTGGTGACACCACTTTTTTTGGTATATTAAATTTAAAATACATAATTGATTTCTGTAAAGACATTTAAATAAATTTGAATAGAACTCCATATACATAGACAGATGATGTCTATGTATATAGACATATATAGTATGGTATTTCATGTCACAGAGACATTTGAAGAGAAGTATTTGAAAGCAGTTCAAAATACTTTTTGGAAAACACAAAATAGACCTGGTTGAAACATAATTATTTTTGCAGTAAAACAAGACACTCTGGACCATCAGGTAAAATTGAGGTTTAAGTTTTAGATGTCAAGCAGGAACTGCTGAAGCAGTGTGATTTTTTGTGTGGAATATAGCTAATCTAGTCGTGTCCGTCCCTGTTCGAGACATCTGTATTTGTCAGTAGAGTTGTCTGTCCCTCTGTGATGTCAGTGTCCCTTGTACTGACTGCATTGTGTTGTTGGCTACATGTGTGTTTTCCTCAGGCTGCTGCCAGGGGTCAGAAAGGTGAAAAAGGAGAGCCAGCTGTCCTGGAGCCTGTGAGTTTATTATAAGAATAAATTAAACCCTCTCTTTTGTTCTTTTGTTCTGTTATATTTGTCATGAGGTGCATCATTTCACTCTTGTTTTACAGGGTATGCTGATCGAAGGACCACCTGGACCTGAGGGGCCAGCTGTAAGTAGATTGTGTATGTTAGTTTGTTGTTTAACTAGACATTTTTATATATATATATATATATATATATATATATATATATATATATATATATATATATATATATATATATATATATATATATATACTCAAAAAAAAAAAGAAGAAAGAAATCTTTCTTTTTTTGTTTTAAAACATGTTATAAATTAAAGACGGTATATTTTCAGGGCCCAACTGGACCTCCCGGCTCGTCTGGACCTCCTGGCTCTGTTGGTGACCCTGGTGAGAGGGTGAGTCTTTTAAGTTTGTTGTACTTTGCTGTACTTTAGTATTTTTGTTTAACGTCATCTTACCTGCATGCAGGGCACTCCTGGGAAACCTGGTCTTCCTGGAGCTGATGGTGTCCCTGGACCTCCTGGCTCCTCCGTCATGCTGCCAGTGAGTAATAGATCAGGTTATGTCATATGTGCAGTGGAGAAGGTGATGTGATATATACAGTGTCCACACTCTTTGCCACACTCTTTTAACTGTTTCCTTTTCTCTTCTCAGTTCCGCTTTGGTCAGAGCGGTGGAGATAAAGGACCTGTGGTTTCAGCTCAGGAGGCACAGGCAGCCGCCATCTTGTCCCAGGCTCGGGTTAGTTACATATTTCATACCAAGTGATTACTGATTATGACACAATAACACAAGTAAAATATGTCCAAGTCATATGCAGTAATCAGTGTATTGCTTTTACTTATCTTATTTTATTGATTTTTGTTTAGATGGCTCTGAAAGGACCCCCAGGACCAATGGGTTATACAGGACGTCCTGGACCATTGGTAGGTTTGGTTGAATCAAACTCATTTCTTTAACTTCATTAACTTTTTTTTTTTTTTTGTCTATGATAAAACATTTTTATTTGCATTTAAGGGAGGTCCAGGAAGTCCTGGTCTGAAGGGAGAAAGTGGTGACCCTGGTCCCCAGGTAGAACCTTTTCATTAAAGTATCTTTTAGATTTAAAGAAAAACTGTGAACATTTGAACAAATCCTGGTCTCTTTACTATTATAATAGGGCCCCAGGGGACAACAGGGCATGATGGGACCTCCAGGAAAATCAGGAAGAAGAGTAAGTATGAATATGTGTTGTGTTTTTGTGATATTTACTTATATATATTAAATATTTAAATCATGTTTTTCTCTGATCAGGGTAGAGCTGGAGCTGATGGTGCCCGAGGAATGCCAGGCGAGCCTGGAGCCAAGGTCAGTGTCTTTTTAATGTGGTATTTATAAAGACCAGGTAATTTTATTAAAGATCCATTTGCTGTATCTGTAATGCCTTCTCTGTCTGTTCGTGTCTTAGGGTGACCGAGGCTTTGATGGTCTTCCTGGTTTGCCTGGGGACAAAGGTCACAGGGTATGCACATTGAAATTTAAATTAAACCATTTGGCTATAAACTTTTGCCTTAGAATCATCACATAATTAATTAGTAAGTAAGTAAGTTTTATATATATATATATATATATATATATATATATATATATATATATATATATATATATATATAGCACTTTTCACAGACATTTGCAGAGCATTATTCAGTCACTCCTTACCCAGTTGTGGTAAACTGTTATTGTAGCCACAGCTGCCCTGGTGCAGACTGACTGAAGCTATGCCAATTGGTGCCATCACTCCCTCTGACCGCCACCATCACTCGTACACACACCACTTTCATATTAGGCAATGTGGGTGAAGTGCCTTGCCTAAGGACACAATGACATTTTTTTGTGACTCGCACCCCCCTGTGACACCTGATTTTCCCTGTGGTCTCCCATCCAAGTACTAACCAGACCCAGGCTTGCTTAGCTTCTGAGATCTGACGGGTTCAGGCTTTGACAAGCCAGTATAAGCCAGTAATTACTTAGGTTTACTTTGATACTTACTTACATATTGTAATATTTCTATGCTCTTCAGGGTGATACTGGCCCAATGGGACCTCCAGGCTCTCAAGGAGAAGATGGAGAGAGGGTAACCACTTATTCCAGTGTCAATATTTGTACATTTTAAATGTATTATTATTTAATTTTGATGAATCTTTCTGTTTTAGGGCGATGATGGAGAGGTTGGACCCAGGGGTCTCCCAGGTGAACCCGTGAGTGTTCTCATAACTATTGCAATGTTCTTTACTGTTTCATTTGTGATAATAATAATAGTACTATATTCATTGTTTGTGATTGTGATTCTTGTGTATTCTTATGTGTTTTATCCTTAGGGACCTCGTGGTTTGCTTGGCCCCAAAGGTCCCCCTGGTATCCCTGGACCTCCTGTGAGTACAGATCATCCCAGCTGTGGATTATATTTCTGCTGCATTTTTATGACTTTGTAGTCTCCAAACACCCACAACCTCACCTCAGATGTCAGCTTGTGTCGTCCATGTTGAATTTGAACATTGTTTCTAAATTAGCATGTTTTGTATTGCCATTTGACAATCTAGTTTAGTTCCAATTAGTTGCTATAAAATGTTGGTATTTTTTTGGTATGTTTTTATGTAGTTGTTTTATTGTCTTCTTTAGGGTGTTCGAGGAAATGACGGAAACCCAGGTCCCAAAGGAAACTTGGTTAGTCTTGTTTTCATATTTATATAAAAATCTTTAAATGTTGAACATTTATTTTTTATTTTATAATAATGTTTATGTTATCTTGTCTCTCAGGGTCCACAAGGAGAGCCTGGCCCTCCAGGACAACAGGGAACTCCAGGAACTCAAGTGAGTTATCAAGCAGACACTACTTTCCAGTAAACGACTAGTACACATCAGAGAACTTAAAAACTATGGCAATACTGCTTGTATATGCTTGTTTTATTGTGTACAGGGAATGCCTGGACCTCAGGGAGCTGTTGGACCTCCAGGAGAAAAAGTAAGAGTAGATATATATAAAAAAAATAAAAAAAGGTTTTGTCAAACAGTATCATCTAAATGTATCTGTCCGATTTCAACAAGTAATTTATCAGTCCAATTCCTAACATCTTACACTTTTGCAGGGTCCCACAGGAAAGCCAGGTTTACCTGGAATGCCTGGAGCTGATGGTCCTCCTGTAAGTTTATTTTATTAATTTTTATTTTATTGTTTTGACACTAATTATATCCTCTTTAATGTCTTTTTCAGGGCCATCCAGGAAAAGAGGGACCTGCTGGAACAAAAGGAAACCAGGTATGTATCTTGGAATGAATGAAAAGGCGCAGAATGAACAGTAATGTTATGTTATCTCCCCCCCTTTTCCAGACATTGCTAGTTACTTTAAAACATGTCAAAACATTTCATTTCAATTACAAAAATAACTTCATTGCAACCAGCACAAAAAAACTTTAGTTTTATTTTTTATATTTACAGAATGAGCTGGATTTTATGTATTTCTTTAATGCCATTATCATACTTGATCCTAATTTCTTTGTCAAGACTATTCCATGAATTAACTCCTTTCACTGCAGTGCTTTGTTCCATAACCTTGGTTCTGAATCTGAATCTTTTTTATACAGGTCTGTTTTATATTGTAATGACCTGTTCTTATATCAAATAGTCTTTGAATGTTTACAGGTAATACATTGCACTTTGCTTTATATATTACTTTGAAGATACTTCAACAATATCATAAATTTTCAATACTTTAAATCTGGGAAATAATGACAAATAATAATAATTATCATCATGCTATCTAATGCTTAGGACTGAGATAAATATCTTATGCAAAGAAATGACACTTTCTATGATAGTGACTCTTTATGATTTCTTGCAGGGTCCTAACGGTCCTCAAGGAGCTATTGGTTATCCTGGCCCTCGTGGCATCAAGGTTGGCCTTGTGTAAAATGTATCCTAAAAAAGATTCTTTGATTATAAAAAGCAAAAAACTAATCCTTTTGTCCTGATTTGGTTTAGGGAGCCCAAGGAATCCGTGGGTTGAAGGGCCACAAAGGAGAAAAGGCAAGTCAAAATTGCGATGTCAAAATGTAATGAACAACATTAATGGAAATATATTTTTAGGTCTTAATTAACATTGTTGTGTTTTTCATTTCCAGGGAGAGGATGGCTTCCCTGGAATTAAGGGTGACTTTGGAGCAAAGGGAGAAAGGGTAAGTTTTTATCTGGGGCATAACATAAATTATGCTTTTATTGTTGATTTCATATCTTATATACCTGTTGATAGGGTGAGGTTGGTGTACCAGGACCCAGAGGAGAGGATGGTCCAGAGGGGCCAAAGGGTCGCGTTGGGCCCCCAGGTGAACTTGGACCCATTGGACTTGTTGGAGAGAAAGTAATGTCCATTAAAACCTTTTTACCAATATCACTGTGTGTACAACTTTGATGTATATGAGTGTTTATACAGTCCTTTTCATTTCCAGGGAAAGCTTGGTGTTCCTGGACTTCCTGGATATCCCGGAAGATTAGGACCAAAGGTGAGATCAAAATTATGCAAAACAGTTCAAAATAATAATAAATCAAATTAATCACTTTCACTATTAGGGATCGCTCGGATTCCCAGGTTTCCCAGGTTCAAATGGCGAGAAGGGAACAAGGGTAAGCTATTTTATCAATGAAATAATTCTATAAGAAATTATTTGATTCTGTCTGCATCTATCTGAAAAATCTGCATCAACTTCATAATGTTGCAGGGTCTGAGTGGAAAAGCAGGGCCAAGAGGACAAAGGGGACCCACTGTATGTATATAAAATACTATTGCATTTTCTATTCTGCCTATTTGATTTTATTCATTAATTTGTTATTTACGCCTGTCAGGGTCCCAGAGGTCAGAGAGGGCCCAGGGGAGCAACTGGAAAGCCAGGAGCAAAGGTTTGTAGTTAAAATTTGAACCGTTGTAACAGACAACTCTTTTAGCTATACTAGTATCAACTGTGACACAAATTTTCAGTGATTAATGTTCTGATGTGATTTCGTTTTGAAGGGCACCTCAGGAAGTGATGGCCCTCCTGGTCCTCCTGGAGAGAGAGTAAGACATTTTTATTTTTATTTGAGCCAATGCCTTGAGTTTAGCTTCTTCTAGTAAACATAATATATCTTACCATTATTGTATATAATATCTAACAATTATCTTCTTCTAAACAGGGATTGCCTGGGCCTCAAGGAGCCAACGGTTTCCCTGGACCAAAAGGACCTCCTGTAAGGAAAATGATCACAGCTTTATAAATATATACCTCACAGAAAAGGAAATATATCTCTTATGAGTTCTTTGTTCCTGAACAGGGACCACCTGGGAAAGACGGTCTGCCCGGACATCCTGGACAGAGAGGAGAAGTTGTATGTCATATTTTAACCTTTCTGAAATACATCTCTCTTGTAATTAATTGATACATTTTAGTAATTGTGAATAATTTTCTTCAGGGTTTCCAAGGGAAGATGGGCCCACCTGGGCCTCCTGGAGTGGTCGGACCACAGGTAGGTTTAACCATATTATAGAATAATTGAATGTTCTGTAGATTTAGTTCATAAATCTCCCACCTCTCCAGGGTCCATCTGGAGACCGGTCCCATGGGTGAGCGTGGCCACCCCGGACCCCCAGGCCCCCCTGGAGAGCAAGGTCTTTCTGGTCCCTCTGGAAAAGAAGGCACCAAGGGAGATCCAGGTCCCCCGGGCGGTCCTGGCAAAGACGGACCCCCAGGACTGAGAGGTTTCCCTGGAGAGAGAGGACTTCCCGGTACCCCTGTAAGTAGCTCTACCTGTATATTTTTATATAAATCATTGGCCTTAGTTTATTATCTTTTTCTTTTTTTTTTCTAGGGAGGTGGAGGACTGAAGGGCAGTGAAGGACCTGCTGGACCTCCTGGACCTGCTGTAGGTTTACATCTATAGCTGTGGTTGAACATGTAACCTCATTTGAGTTCACCTACACTCACTTTGTGTTCCTACTGTGTTAGGGTTCTCCTGGTGAGAGGGGCGTGGCTGGCACAGCTGGACCTGTTGGACCTCCAGGACGACCAGGACCTCAGGGACCTCCTGGATCCGCTGGAGAGAAGGGCGTTCCTGTGAGTGTTTAAAAAACAAAACAACAAGAGACATGACTTTGGTTTAACAGTCACATTTCTGATGTTATGTTTTGCTCAGGGAGAGAAAGGCCCTATCGGCCCAGCTGGTCGGGATGGGGTTCAGGGTCCTGTAGGTTTGCCTGGCCCAGCTGGATCTCCTGGAATTCCTGGAGAGGATGGGGACAAGGCAAGTCAACCACATTGTTGTCAAATACAACCACGTGAACTAACATGGATATGCATTTTAACTCATGTTTTTACCGCTAACAGGGTGAAGTTGGGGAGCCTGGACAGAAGGGTGCCAAAGGAGCAAAGGGAGAGCATGTACGTTTCAGTTATATTTCTACACAGACACATATTTCGGTTATCCTAACCTTTGTTAAAATATTAAACTTTTGTTTTGACAGGGGCCTCCCGGTCCACCTGGTCCAATGGGCCCTGTTGGTCAGCCTGGTCCTGCTGTGAGTACACCTCTAATTATGTATCTATATAGTGATTGTTCTGCTCATGGAGTTTGTGATTAAAAAAGGAGCCTCATCTGATCTACATTATATGCAATGCAATACATCATAAAAGCAAATCAGAGACATGACTGAATAACAACAAGAGTCATATTAAATGTGACCTGTGCAGGGAGCAGATGGAGAGACTGGTCCACGGGGTCAGCAGGGACATTTTGGAGCTAAAGGTGACGAAGGATCCAGAGGTTTCCCAGGGGCTCCCGGACCCATCGGCTTGCAGGTAATTAACACTTTTCAATATTTGGTCAAAACATTAAAAA